TGTGTGTGTGTGTGTGTGTGTGTGTGTGTGTGTGTGTGTGTGTGTGTAGGGGTGTGTGTGAGATCAAGATTGCAGATACAGTATTTTTTATTTCATTTTATTTTCATTACCCCTCTCCTGTTTCGTACCAATAACTGTGCTCATTTTGTCATCAATTTTTAAGACATGATCATTTCTCCTCCCCTCACTATGGTATTTGCTATGATATTCATTTTTACATAAACCATCTGCTTTTTTTGTTCTGAACCAGCGTAATCCAAAGGAAATGTTGTATCCCAGACTTTGATAGCAGGTCTGTTCACTGCAGATCGGCTGTGCAAGCTTTACATTGAGTCTCACTGGGAGCACGAGGCGTTTCAATAAACATTTCAATGATAATAAACATAAAAAAAACGTGATACAATGTTGGAGTCATTTTTGTTCCTTTAAATTTAGCATATTGTGAGGTTGCTGGGCATTGTGGAAAATGTGAAGTGCAATACATTATTCTGGCCGGTAGAGGGCGAAAAGATCCCATGCCAGACTCTCACATTTAAAATTTGAATTAGTTAAGGCAACATAAATGATTTTTTTTTTTTTGACAAAAATGAATCATAGAGCATAAATAGTTCAATGTGCTTTTAGAAAATCAATGTTGTAATAGGTTAGACAGGTTTGAGGTGTATATTGAGATGTAGATAAGGGAAGGGTTGTATGAGTAAGACAGGGTTCACCCAAAAGCTTGTGTTTGATGAGAAACACCTTCATTTATCTTCCACTGTCTTCTGTTCTTCTGCACCACAGCTGATAAACTACAGCATGGCTCCACCTCCAGAGCCCGAACAAAAAGAAGGACAGTTAAAGAATAAGTCAACATTTTTCTTATGGTCAACAATTCCCATGAAAAACAACAATGAATTGCTTCCGCTATAATGTGTTGTCTGTGTAGCCAAAGCCTCATTCCTCTGTTCCATAGAGTTCCATTGTTGTATAAACACTATAATAAAAAGAAAACAATGAGCCATACTGTTGCTGTGGGTGAAATGTCCAAACTGTTTTTAAAATGAACGTCTTGAACGAGCTGAGAGCCAGATAAAGGCAGGTCAATTAACAAAGAATTGAGACACAGAATAATAGATTGCCACTTAAGGACTTTTTATGGAATTTTGTTGGTAATAACATAAACATATAAAATGTCACAGGCCTTATTATATAAGTTTAATGGCAGGTGGGAGAGAAACAGATGTAGCCTACAGTGTGGTGAAATACCTTAAAAATATCATAGTATGGTTTGTCATAAACAGGTCATGTAAAGTCATAGTATAGCATGTCATGAACATGGAATAAAAAAAAGACCTAAATAAATATAATAAAAAAATCGTAGCATAAGATGACAAATAATGTCATAAAGTTCAAAAAAAGTCATCGTATTGTATGTCTGGACAAGTCACAAAAAAGTTATAGGATATGATGAACATGTCAAAAAAGTGATAGTAAAGTACGTCAAAAAATATAAAACATCATATTGTAACATGTCAGAGTGAATCGTTTTAAATGAATCATACAAATTCATAGTATAGCATGTCATAAACATGTCAAAAATAGTGAAAATGTCTGATTTATGTCATAAAAATATCATGTAAAGTCCTAACATGACAAAAAAATATAAATACAGCATGTCATGAAAATATGATAAAAAGTCATAATATAGCAGTCCATAAAAATATCGCAAAAGTCATAGTATAATATGACCAGTAAAGTCATAAAGTCGTAGTATAGTATGTCATAAATTCATGAAAAGCCATAGTATGGCAGATCATAAAAAGTCATATTATAATATGTAAGAAAAGTCATATTATAAGTCTAAATATAGTCATATATTAAGTCATAAACATATCGTGAACTAGTCAAAATAATGTTTGCATAAAATGTCGAAAAGAAATTACATAGTATCGTATGTAAAACACATTTATATTAAAAGTCATTGCATAGCATCTCATACAAATGTCTTAAAAAGTCATAGTACATCATGTCATAAGATGTCATAATGTGGTAAAAGTCATCGTATAGTACGTCATAAAAACGTAATGGCTTCAAAATATGTAAAACGTCATAGTTTACCAAAAAAGTCATAGAAAGTCATAGTATAACATGTCATAAAGAAATCCTGGTATGGTATGTCAAAAAACATAAAGTATTAGTAGTTTGTCATAAAAAGTCATAGTATACCATGTAATAAAATGTCTTAAATTAAAAAAAACAGGACCTGGAAACAGGTGTGCTCCCCATCCTCTCTACAGATCACTAATTAGCTCGATACCTTAACACTTGGGTTTGATTTGACTCACGTGTGACTCAGGTTCCTGGCAGCAGCCGTTTCCCACAGATTTATAACCTCAATTACTGCAATTCTACAACACTCCAAAAACATATATATATATTTTTTTTTAGAAATATTCATTTTTATTTTGCATATTTGTTTTAAACGTGACGTATGGCTTGGTTTATGACTTTACTAAGGTGGTGCCACAGCACCGTGAGACTCCAGTATTATCGCTGAAGCATCCGTCTGTATTCTGCAGCTGAAAAAAACCAGAAACAAAACAAAGACAACTCTGAGCAGTACAATGGGCTGGAAAAGGAGCTCGGTGCTGACACTGGCGTATACTGCATCGCTCCATTTCTCTCTCTCACTCGACTCGCACACAGACCAACAGACACCAAATACACTTACACATATTCAGTACAACATCACCTACATCCAAACACATTTACTTGATATGTATTGACAACTTTGTAATTTAGGTATCATAAAACCAAACTATCCAGACACTCTCCAAAAGTTACAGGTCCAGAAAAATAGCCTAACAAGCCGCTGCAGGTATTTAATGTGATGACTATTGTGTTTTAAGTGTTAACAAAGTCTCTCTCTCAGTAACTCTAGCAGCAGCAATACAAAATACAAAATACCAGTGTTGTCTACCTTGTTCAAGCTCATCCTTTACCATCGTATTTGCATATTCTGTTAAACTGTGATTATCACCGTGTAATCACTTGCCAGCGGTAGATAAAAGGAACAAAAAAAGGGGAGCACAATAAACATTTTGTCCATTTGAGATGAGAGACTAATAAAAATGACAAACAAACTGAACTGGGTACAGAGAGAGAGAGAGAGAGCGAGAGAAAGATCTCTAAGGCCATGGACAGAAAGGTAACCTTGAAGAGGAGGTAATTGGGCCTTTGTTTCTGGCTCTCGGCTTGGCTAATATCCAGCATTCAGCTCAGTACCTTTGGAGAAACTGCAGCCCCAGCATCGTGTCAAACATGACATATTTCTCGTTGTCTTTACCGGTGCGCTCTCCAGCAGTCGACCTGCCTCCAACCTCAGGGTCAGTGGTAAAGACAGAAACATCCAGAAGATTACCAGTCGTCTGCCACGTATGAAAAACATTCACATCGAGTGCTGATAACTGTAGCAATAGAACATTTTCATCACCTATTACAACAACAATTATATATATATATATATATATATATATATATAAAAAACAGGAAGGAGAGTGCTTTCTAAAAGCCCTTTTGATTACATCACACTCTCTCCCTGGTTAACCAGTCCTGATGATGTCACAGGTCAACAGTCACGCTGCTTTGAATCATCAGTTCGGCAGCTGCAGCTCCGCGCAGAGCTGCTCACTGCATGCGGTCGGGCTGGTGCAGAGGGTAATGGAGGAAGGCCTGCGGGGCGGCAGACATGGTGGCGAGTGCAGCCAGGGGAGGATGGATGGCGGATGGAGGGGTCGGGGACGCTGTGAGAGCGGGCGCCGGCGTGCCGGGGGAGAAGCTGTAGCTGAGGTAGCCAGCGGCGGGCGACGGGGACTGGGTGTAGGGGTACTGCTCCAGTCCCGTGGGGGCATAGTGGCTGTAGGCGGAGCTGTAGTCCAGGTAAGGGGAGGCGAGCGCTGCTGCTGCCGCTGTGGGGCTGAGCTGGGACTGCAGCACCAGGCTGGGATGGAGGAAGGCCTGCGGGTAGACGTACTGCTGGGCGAGCCTGGAGGAAGAAGGGTTAGAGGTTAAATGATCAGGCAATGAAGGAACAGAAAGTTAATCAGCAACAATTTTGATTATAGATTAATCATTTCAGTTTATTTCTTCAGCAAAAAACAAACAAAAGTATTTTTCTGTTTTTCTATTTTCTGCTGTTATTAGTCTGTATATTTTGTAACTTTTAAATCGTTATTTTCATATCTCTAAATGGCTTGGTGACACCTGATTGGAGATGCAACTACAATTGTTGTTGAGACAAAGCTCTCTTGAACTTGATCTTTTTTTGTTTCTATATGACTTTTTTTCTGCAATTTGTACAATTACAGTATATGTGGAAAAAGAAGCATGCCAAGCTAAGCCCCAAAAACAAAATGAGTGGGATAGAGGAGAGAAGAATAGAATGACACACACAGGTCTGACCACATCCATATCTGTGTCTGAATATCCAATGACAACATCTGCAAGATGTGATTAATGTGTGTTCAGAGCTGTCGCTCGGTGTGAGATCTGATCCGATTATTAAATGACATTTAAACAACAGCAACTGGAGACAGACACACACACACCCAAGTTGCAAACTGACTGCAGACCTTTCTTTACATCCCAACATTAAAAATCGGAGTCCTATTAAGGCCTCCTCCTCCTCCTCTTCCTCCTCCTCCTCTTTTATGAGCAATTATTGGCACCGTTGCCTTGAAATAGACCTTCTCCCTGGTGTTTTAAGTAATTAGCACACTGCCTGAAAAATGTTCAAAAAGAAAAGCTTTGTTCCAAATAAAATATCACCGCTTCAAAGATGAAAACGCCACATAACGAGAAATAACTATACGTAACAATAAAATCACAATTGTTGCATTTCTGAATGAAAAATGTGGTCTCTGAATTGCATGCATGCACACTCTCTCTCTCTCTCTCACTCACACTCACACACACACACACACACAGTAAATGCAGTGTATATGAGGCTGTTGTTACTCCGAGCCACGGCAGTAATGAGGAGAAAAAGTGCTCTACTGTCCTCTTGTATTCACTCATGCCCTTGCCTGAGGCTGCCCGCTTAACCTGAACTGCCTCAGTTTACATCTGGTAACAGCAACAGCAATCATATCAGAAGAAGTGGGTTAAAGCTGCTTCAGTAAAAACAATAGTACATGACAGCATGTAACACTTACACTCCCGTGATCGGCGCCTACAGTCCAACTCATTAACCTGACGGTAACCTTGCCACCAAACAGGTGATCAGGGTGGAGATGCGGCTGCTGCTGCTGCTGCTTACCCCTAAACAGAGCCAGAGCAGGGATCAGGTGTACACAACAAATACTGGGACCGGGTCTTTTCATACCCACTCTGTTGTATACACAACACACACCAGTATGTGTATCATGCCTGCCAATATTCGCCCATATGACCCATTTCAGTTTTAAAGGTATTTCACTTTACTTAACTCTTCTATGGACTTATCGAACCCAGCTGAGCCCGACTGAGGAACCTTTAAGTCCCCAATTTCTCCTCAACTTACTTAAATGTTTCTGTATCTGCTTGTTTTCATTGAAGCCAAACTAAATGACACTTAAATTGAGTGAAACATTAATAATTTTAGGACACCATGTCTTCATGGATGCACTGTCACATGAAATGGATAACTGCAGATGTCTTGTGCATCATGCTGGAAACCTTTTAGAACCTGGACTAGAATTTAAAATAAAGGTCTTCGGGATTTTCTCTTCATCTCCCACTTAAAAGGAACAGTTAATGTATTTCTCATTTTGGAAAATATGCTTATTCCCATTCCTGCCAAACGTTAGATGAGAAGACTGATACCACTCGTGTGTCTGTGCTAAAAACGGAGCAACAGCTAACAGGACAGGAATCAACACCTTATATCTGGTTTGTTTCATCTCTTTCTCCCCCTTTGGACAGAGCCAGGCTAACAGATTCCAGTCGTTATGCTAAGCTAACCGGCTGCTGGTTGTTTATTATATTTATTGAACAGACACATGAGTTGTATTAATCCTCCGGCCTTTTCCTAAAATGTCTACCTATTTCTATAAATTGAGTGTAGATTGCAGGTGTGTTGTGCATCATGTTAAACACATTTCTCTGTAATTCTGTCCGTCACAGTTGGTATTTTTTGGAAACCTTGAGATCTGGACTAAAATTGAATATAAAGTTCTGAGGATTCAAACACCAGCTGTGGAAACAACAGGAAAACAACAAGCCTGGCTCTGTCCAGAGGTAGAAATAAAAATCTACCAACCAGCACATTAATTAACACTTTGTATCTTGTTTGTTTAATCCGTACAAAAAGGAGAAAAAAAACAACAACTTGCTGTTTTATTGCGGGTTGTATGCCAGACTGTTTATTGGTTCTGAGCAGTTGCCAGGCAACCAGCAGACACTCCAAAATTACAGGTTGCCTTTGAAAGATAGTCCAACACACAATCATCCTTAAAACTGTGAACTGTCAATGTTTCCACTTCACAAAAACCAAAGTCTGAAAACAACAATACACATCGTGTTAATGTTGTAGCTTTAGCGGTGATGCTGGCGGTGCAATCAACACACCCGATAGTGTCTCTTTTTAAACAGGAAGCTCTCAGTAAAGGTCTAAACGTTCTACTGACAAGAGGTTGCAAACGATCAAGACTTCTATTTTTTTAAATTAATTTTAGCAAGTATGCGTATCATTTTTATTGGTAGAACAGTATGAGCTTCCAATCTTTGTAAACAAGATTGATTGTGGTATTTTATCACCTTAAGTGTGTGAGCCTACTGCGAAATGTGCAATCTGGATTTTAGAAAGGCCTACAGGCTGAAAACACGAGCTGTGTGTGTGTG